CCCCATGCCAACTAATACTACAGTGTAGTCACCAGCCCCTTTTGCACCAGTTTAAGCAAATCCTGCCGCCATCCAAAGAGTCCGGTGTCACTCCACATTGTCATTTGAGTCTGGTTGGTTTTGTTTTCTGCTTTTGCAGCTGTAAAGCACTGATTGCACTGTGAGAACACACAGAACCCTCTGGCCTGGGAGCCCCATAGGTTACTGCAGGGTGCAGGTCACGGGTTCTGCAGCTATGAATACTCCTAAAGGGCAAAGGGACTTGCTGGACCTATGTGAGGTGTCACAGGCTCTCCTAGGAAAGCAATCAGCAAGGAATCAATCATTCCCAAAGTTTAGATAGCTCATAGGATTTCCCCTGTCCCTAATGTCCGTTCCCAGATGCAATAGAAAACATACTGAGGTCTGTTCTGTGATGGACAAGGAGGGGATTTTGTCACAGGAGATGGCAGATCCACTGATGTGTTCAGCCAGGACAGCCACGGGCTGTGGGCCAGGATCTGATCTGCCAGGGGCTCGTTTTCCCCAGTGATCCAGGGCAGGGAGAGTGGCCCTGGGGTGACACCTGAGAGCAGCCTGTGAGCAGCTGTGTGTGTCCAGCAGCTGCCCCAGGTCCCTGCCCTGTCCTTCCCACACAGCTCTGCCTGGGCAGCACGAAGGGAACAAACCGTGAGCTGTCCCTGGGCTCTGTCCTTCCCCCGCAGTGACTGTCGGGGTCACCTCCTCCCAAAGGTTTGTGTTCAGAGCAATCCAGGCCTCCAGCCTGGCCTGGCCTGGCACTGGTGTGGCTCAGAGCCGCGGCCTCCCGGCCACAGGAGCTCCCTTCAGTGGCCACAGGAGGGACTGTGCCCATCTCCCGGCAGGTCCTGAGGCCCCAGGGCAGTTCAGAGGATGCTCAGCCACAGAAGCCCCTGCCCTGCCCTGCCCCTGCCCAGATAAACTGTTGCCTTTGCCTTTCCCGTGGGGAAATTCACAGCTGGGGGAGCGGGAGGGCAGCAGCTGAGAACATGCAGCTCACGGGCTTCACAAACCAAAGGCAGTGCTGAGGGTGTTCACAACATCCAGAAACAACCACGCTTGGGAAAAGGGTGTCACGTTCAAGCATTGAGTTTTACAGATCACCTGAGCTGTGACATTGCTGTAAATGCCATGTGGCTCTGCATCAGCTACCAGTACCCCAGAGTGCAGCCTCCATCCTCACATATTCCTTTATCATACATCACTGTGTCTTAAGATATACCTCTCTCTGTATATCTGCTTAGGCTGATACTTGTTCCTGATAAGCAGTCGCTATGTTTTATATCCTCTTATAAAGAAAAACAAATTTTTTTTGTAAGTATGTTTAAAAAACAAAAAAAAGCAAAGTGGAAGTGTTTGCTGAATCTCCTTCAGCTCCTTTTAAACTATGTAATAATGTACAGAGAAAGTTGTTGGTGTTCAAAGAAATGATGTGGCTGTGCAATTTATGTACATTTGCAATTAGAAATATTAAAGATTTATTTAGATATTTTACATAAGTGCTCCAGCACCTCTACTCAGTCATTTCCAGCTTTTAGAGCATCCTGGCACACGCCACGTGCACACACAAATGTGTCTTACCTGTCTCCCCAAACAGATCATTGGAATCTGCTCCCCAGGAGCATTTCACTGGCTCCACCACCTTCCCTTCCAGCACCCATCACACGCTTGGGGGGGTCTGACAGCCCCCACCACTGCCCCTCGCTCCTTCCAAACCGCCCTTCTGCCTCTCCAGTAAAAGCAGAAAACTTGGAGGAGAGTCATTAAAACCCTGGGCAGCATCAGCATCTCTGCCTCATTAACATCACCCTAATTAGCTCCTCCGGGAGCAGGGGGAGCCAGGCTGGCTGCATGGAAATGAGTCGGGATGTGAGAGCACCTGTGGCTGTTCCTGAGCTGGACCCGGGCTGGGCACTGGAGTCTTGAGCCAGACAGGAGAACCCTGTGCTGCTCCTGCCAGGAACAGGCACCTGCCCAAGGGGGGAAGGCAAAAACCCACCCAGGCCACAGTCCTCCCTTGGGGCCTTGCTGTCCCCCTGCCATCCCCCTCAACCTTGTTGATGTTGAAGGTTGAGAGAAACAAAACAAAACATCTCTGGAAACACAGAGCATGTCAGGAAATGCTGCAAGGAGGGATTAGTCAAAACCACCTTGACTTGCTAAAACCTCCTTAGCAGCTGTTCCGGCTTCATTTGAGCAGAGCTGAATCCTCACCCAGAACACCCAGAACATCCCTGGGCACTTGACAGCTCTTGGCATCCAGAGCCCCTCCCAGGGGCTCCAGCAGACAGGCAAGGCTGGGAGAAGTGAGACTTGGAATGGCAGATCAGCAGCCAGAACCACCACAGGAATACGGGGCTGGGAGGCTGAGGATCATGGATGTGTTTGCTTGAGGTTTTTGAATCTGGAGAGTCGTTTTAGCCCAAGACTCATCAGCAATAACGATGTTCCAGTAACTGCACCTTTACACGGTTGGTTCTGAGTTCAGTAAGTGAGAGTCACTGGCCTGTGGGCTGCTCCTGTGCCAGGCAGCACCTTCTGCAGCACAACCAGAGAGCAGCAGCAGAGCCTTTGCCCAGGCAAGGCTGAGGTGGCACAGCCATGGTCCCACTCCATCACCCCACTGAAGCCAGTCCTACAGCAGCAACTGGCAGCTCACAGATGGCAGAACTGGGCACCTTCAGAAGGGGCAAATGTGAGGGTCCTGCCCACCACACAACCGAGGACAAAGCAACAGCCACAACAGCAGCCACTGACAGCCAAGGAAGTGACAGCATTAAGCCAATACTTGCTAAGCTGGGCCTTAAGAGCACGGAAGAGCCTTTCTGTTTCAGTGGGAGGGCGGCAGGGAGGTGCAGAGATGAGGTTCATACCCAGGGAGGGCATGGACAGAAACAGCTTGTTACTGTTCCTCCAATAATAAATAATCTCTGATCTTTGCTGCTGACAATTCTCTTTCCCTCACGGCTTCCCAAGCCCTCCACAGGTCCCACTCCACTGCAGTGGGTGAACATCAGCATCCTTGTTTTCACAACGGGGACATGCAGCAAGAGCACAACTTTCCTAGGGCGCCCAGAGAGCTACAAACCCCAAACCAAACCGATTCTCCTCCCCCCGCCCTCCGTGTGCAGCCATCCCACGCACGGCAGCCCCGGCTCCTGAGCGAACACCCTCTGGAGCAGGAATTCAAAGGCAGGCAGTAAACAAACCTCCGAAGGCTCGGCCCCAGAGACGGGAGCGCAGCCGCTCCCTGCCAGGGAAGTCAATAATGACAGGCAAGCAGAAAGGAAGGAGCTGGAACAACAAGAGTCATTAGTGGAAACTTGTTTGTGCTAATTAGATCATTATCTGGAAACTGTTATTGATGTTGCCATTTCAGCTCCTGCTGCTGTTCACAACTTTATTTTACCCATGTCTATTGACTGCCCACACTCTTCCATGTCCTGCAGGAAGGGCTGGCGGTGCCAGGTGAGAGGAAGAGAGGAAAGGACTTGTACACCTCTAAGATTTCTGCCAGCACAGCTCCTCATCACGTAAATAATATTGATGCAGGCCCTGTACATGATCAGATTTCCCCACTCGTGGTATGAGCCATAATTAAATAACCTCAAACATTTGATTTTTTTTGCCACATCTCCGAGGAATGAAGCCTGAATAACAGAGCTCCCAAGTTGACTGACTTTGATTTATTACAGTCACTGTTACTCCTCCTGGAAACCACAGTCCTCCCTCACCCCCTGAGTGAGGTGTGCTGGGGGACCTGGGCTGATGAGAGGACAAACATGAGGCTCAAGACTCCAAACTACAAATCAGGGAGCTGGGTTTGCACCCATAACTCACATTCCCACTTTTTCCTGCTTGTTCACTGGTGTATCTGACCCTGACCTGCAGAAGGGCTTTTGTACTTCCACTGATGAGGTGTAGGAAGAGGGAAAATTGCATCACATCACCATAACACACTTTTGGTTTTGTTCTTTATCACAATTTCATACCAGTTCTGCACTACACCTGCAGTGAATTGTAGAAGACTCAGAGCACTGTGTCCTCCTGCATCCCTTGCTGTGCAGCCAGGAGCCACTCCCAGTCCCTGCCACTTGCTTTGTCTGGGACAGTGGTGAGGAATGGGAATACTGGGAAACCCCAGCAGGTGTGAAGCCACCCTGCCTTCAGCCTCCCCTGCTGTCCCTCCCTGAGCTCTGCTTAACTCACCAACTCACCCTGCTGCACGAAACAGAAACATGCTCGAATAAATCACCTGCAAGTTAAAAGCAGCCATTAGCCATTAGCAAACACCACAGGCCCACGGGCCAGGGTAATTCAATGTGATATGCTTGGGCATGCAAGGTAATAGGTTCCAGCTGAATACCATGTGATACAATCTCTTCAATGCGAGGTTAAATGAGGCTGAGACAGAGACCAGATGGATTTATCTGGGTAGTGCTGATGATTTTTTGTGTGTGTGCTTAAGGTGAAGCGAAGGTAAGTAAGGCAGAAATAATTGGAGAGAAAAGCAGGAGCTGGGCTGCTGGGGCAGGGATAGCAGGAGGAATCTCATCCTGCTGGAACAAACCCAGCGAGCAGGAGGATGCTCTCAAGGCACTACAGATGGGAACAGCCAGAGAAAAATAAATACTTTATCAATCTCCCCTTACGGAGGAACGACCAGAGGGCAGAGCGGGACAAGTGAAGCGTGGCTGGGCAGCTGTAGACACCTCACTGATGAGGTGCCAGCAGGATTTAGGAGCCCAAACATCATCTCTCATCCACCCAGGACCTCTGCAGCAGGAGAAGGGACCAAATTGGTCCCATGCCCAGGCACAGCAATGCCCTCCCTCCCCGTGGAGAAAGCTTTTGGAACCCTCACCAAGGCAGGGACATGAGCAGAGCTATTACCTAAAAAATGCAAGGGCTCAGCACATTTGGGCTACACACAAGACTGCAGGGAAGGGGAGTTGAAATTCTGGACTCACTTGCCTCAAATCTTCATTAGATGTTGCTTTATTCTGATTTCTATCCAGAGAGGAATACCAGACCCAGTGTCTGATAAGGAGAAAGATTTCACTGGTATACAATATCCATATCGTGTATGTCATAAATGGAATAATGAGTGCTGTGATATTCTCTGAAAAGAATATATAGAAAAGTGCTATTAAAACCCCAACCTTTCATTTATTGTGTCTGTAGCTTGAGAGGTACCTCAGGATTAACAGATTATCAGTGCATTAGCATTCATGTTCTGGATAAAGTGTCTCTGGCCATTTACATGGGCACAGACTGGTAACTCAAAGGCTCTATGAAATTGGATGCTAAATAATATCCAGAGGAAATTGAATTAGACAGGAGGGAAGAGAAATGTGACTGCCATTAAGTCTCTAAAGAACATTGCTGGTTTATCCCCTCCCCCCTCTCTGAGAATAATATGGCATTCAATTTTCCAATTATATAAATACATGAACACTGGATTACTAGAGGCAGATAATTGAATATTTTGACTATTCTACAAGGGACCCTTCATATCTGAAGTGGGAGATGAATGGGCTGTGCTGCATCAGCCTGTGGATGCTCGGGCTATAAAAACCTCTACGAGATCCAGAGAGTATAAAGATCTCCAGCACAGAGAGAGATCTTATCAGTGTTCAGTATACAATAGTTAATTTATTCCACTGATATCAGGGTAAGTTATACAATAGCAAAACCTGGATAATTTAGGCCACAGATTGTACTACTTGAAAGGTGCAAGGAAAGGCATTCACGGCCGCAGCATTTCCAGTCCGGCTCCTCTGTGACTCTCTTTCCAGGACATCAATCACCAGATGAGAGGAACTGTAAGCTATTTTCCAGTAACACACTGCCAATCACAAGACAAATGTCAGATGTCACAAAAGGAGAAGTAACCATTTTTCAACTTGTGAATGTCTTCAAATATATTACAATGAAAGTGCGAAAAAAAAATGACCCTTTCAGCTTCATTTGTTCTGACAGATGCCAGACCTTGGAGTTTGGCATTTTATCTTCATACTGCAATAATCTTTATGAAACTCAAACAAGGCTGAGGGCAGTGGCATTAGTCTACAATTGTCCTCTTATGTACAATACATAACATTTCAAACAGTCTGGCCATTGAACTAAAAAAGATCATCTACTTCTATTTTACTGGTGGTACAGGAAAAGATAAAGAGAAGGGACCCCACACCTGAGATTAACACATGCTGGGGATGAGTTATGTGTGGGCTCAGCCCGACTCCTGCATTGCATTGCCACGCTGCTATTGCCACTTGGGAGAAACACATGCTGCTGAAACTGAAACCAGGGAAGAAACTCAAAACACTCCCTGAAGTAAAAACTCACTCAGTGCCACGTGTGCATTTAGTCCATGACATGAAATGGGGGGGCTCCCCCTCACTGACACTGTGCTTCCTGAGTGGACACGTTTCTGGTGCACCAGCACTGGGACATTCCAACCTGGAACTCAGGGAATGTTCTCCAATCCAGAGCTCAGTGCCCAGCTTAGAGCTCTGCCATTTCTGACAGGATGGAGGACACTAAAACATAAGCAAAGTCATTAACATTAAAGAGGAGAACAAAGGAAGAAAATCAAACTCAGATGTAGCCATAGATAATAGTAATAAAATATGAGACCACAAAGAGTTTCACTGAACAGCCCTGAAGTTCCCAGTTATTCCTGTCCTTATTATACGTGTCCTGTTATTCCAGCCACTCTGTTGTGCTATCCCCCCTAAGGAGCATGGGAAGTTATGGTTCATTTCCTGAAAAATAAAAGATTCCTCTGTACAATTCCAGTGGTATAGCCCAGCAGTTCTGACACAATATCCTATTAAACAATATAGATCTAATTTTTACAGACTTACACTGTTATTTAAGGGAAAAGAATGAAGAAAAAGTGCAAAGACACACAAAAATTCTGCTCTAGATGATATTGCAGGTCCCAACAGGGTAACAAACATGCAAATGGCAAAAAATAAACAAACCTAGAATACAGTTAGTTTAGGCTAAAGTCAGTGACAGGACTGGTTTCACTGGAATTTAAACTGTAGAGCTTTCTGCAGAAGCAGTACCAAGTCCCTGAAGACAAAACCTCAACTTGATTCACCAAATTTGACTTGAGGAAGTAAATTTTTTTTCTGTGAATAAGTGTGAGCTTATCAGTTCTGTGGAAGCAAAAGGATAAATAGCTTTAGTTTTTCTTTAAAAAACTAACAGTACTTGTCATGGCAAAGACATGTACAAAGAAGTAGAAGCCAAAATAGGATTTCAGTGTTTTAAGTTAGTCTTTAAAAAATAAGTACATAGACAATGACCAAATCTGTATCGATTCCAGCGTGTACAGTCAAGCCATTGAAAGAAGAGGGTCAAAGCCTGAAGTCTGACCACAAATGTAATTCCAGGTTTCAGTTTTCCAAAGTCTGGTATTTGAGACTGCAGCTCCTTCCTTGGTTTCTGTGACATGTCCTGTGCTCCCAAAGCAATGTAATTCCTTTGACACGAGTGTGCCTCTCCACCAGTGCAGCCAATCCCACAGTGTTGGTTCTCCTCTGGTGTTTTGGTCCTCCCCTTCCTGCCTGGTTTCCACGCACTCAGGAGGAAAGCACAGCGTGTCACGGGGGGGGCACCCACAGAGAGGTCAAGAAACAGCCATTGCCAAGGTCATTATTTGAGAATGGCAGCCTGCAGAAGACTTTTCGAAGACCATAAATAAAAACCAGCTGAAATAAACAGCTGTGACTCTCAGATGGAGGAATTCAGTGCCTGTGTCTCCCCCAGCAGTTCAGGGACACAGCTGGGAAGGAACTCCCAGTCCTGTCCCGCCTAATTGCGCTGGGTTCTATAATCTGCCAGTTTGGAGGCCGTGGCCGTGCGGTTCAGGAGGGCTGGAGCAGCTGGGCTGAGGTGCAGCCCCTCGGCCTGGCAGGGCCCCCCAGTGCCCCCCCGGCGCTCCGGGACCCCCCAGCCCCACAGCAGGCGCTTCTCGTCCAGGGCAGCCAAGTGACACTCACAGAACTCGATCAGTGACAGCACCTGCTCGTGCAGAGGGAGGGATTTGTACTTCTTCTGAGCCAGGCAGAAGAAAGCTTCCACAAAGGCCTGCAGACACATTCCTGCAAGGAAAAGGGGGTTCAGAGCGCAGCGGTCCCTGGCATTCTTCAGGCCTAATTCCACCTCCTGTTCCGTGTGGCAGCAAGACCAAATGTGTGTGTGCTGGGTGTGGACACTACAGTCGTCCTAGTTAACACCTTTTCATTTAAATGGCAGCCCTCCAGAATGCTCAGAAAGAGCAAGGCTGCATTTGGATGTCACACACAAGAGCTCACAGAGTGTCTCAGTGCAGGGTGAGCCCAGCCTGGGCTATGGACACTGATATTCCCTGTCACTGAGGCAGTTGCCTCAGCCTCAGGAATCCAGAGGCAAACTAGTACAGCAACAACCCATCTTAAGACATTGTACCATTAAACTGCTGTGATATCAGCCTTGATTTCTGCTGCCTCAATTACCAAAACCAAATCAGACACACAGGAACATGCTGAGCACCAAGGAAAACAATCCAGTTGGAGAGAAAAGCAAGTCTATGGCGGCAACTGCATCGAGCCTTTTCAACCCTGTGTTTTCAGAGATGGCCCTAACCCAAAGTTCACAGCAGTGTGCCATTTCAGTCTGCAGCACTGTAAAGATAACCCCATTACCAAGTATCACCTCCTAGAGATGTGAGTTCATTTGAAGTATTACTTCCCCTCTGCACAGGTACGAACCCTTGTGAAGGTGAGGAGGCCAATCTGTTCAGCCAAACCCAGCAATTCCACAACAGTGGTTTTGTTTCAGCTGAATGAAAAACAAACAGCTGAAAGTGTGCAGTGCCAAAAAATGTCTCTGCTATAATAAAACTCTGCCCCTTCACAAACAAAAGTCCCCTGCAGAAGCCACATGCTGCAGTACAGACTCTTCAGGTGTTGTTCCATCACATCTCACTAATAACACATTACCACAGCCAAGGGGAAGAGGGGCTGTGTATTAACACTAATTATTGTATTTAAAACCTCGAAGTAATACCCACTCGAAATCTTAATTAAGAAGCCAGACCCCAATTGGTTGTGCAGAATGGCAGCCACAAGGCACAGTTAGAGCTGCTTTGTGCTTCAACTGGCTCTCCCAGTTTGAACAGACACTTAAGAAGATTATTTTAGGACGAGATATTGAAAGGTTTGGGGTTTTTAACTTATTGTTGGCTTACTGATGCTGCAGGAAAGGCACCTTTTCAAAATGTGACAATTACATTCTGAAGTATAATTTCTCTCAACCAAGGCTGCAGCTGGGGTCGTTTACAATCTTGGCTGTAAAACAGCTTGCAAAAGAATTGTTGAGTTATCTGAAAGCAGCAGCTGCCAGCTCAGTAAATTTTTTTATCAGTCATGGTGAGCTGCAGGCAGAGAAACCACCTCTGGTAGCACACACACTTTCTCCCCCAGAAGTGACACTCATGTGAAGCATATCATGAAAAAAGTTAGAAGCTGCTGTTTTAGAACAACAGAATTGTGACTGTCATGGTTAGAGCTGGGAGTGTGCCAAACACAAAGCCAACAGGAACAGGTGGGTACTTTGTCTTTTAAAACCTAAAAAAACATCTGGTTCACTGAGATTGTCAATAAATCTCTGAATTTCTGAAAGCCTGAAGATTCAGTTCCATGCTTACTACTTTTGCTAGTGAAATTTTATCAGCTAACCACAGAAAAGACAGACTCACCCTGAACTGCTAAATGCAAATACTTGTATTTTACACTATGGAACTGAGGTGACCCCAACCTACCTAAAGTAGTACTGCTCTGAAGGGTAACTGCCACAGAACTAACCATAAGAATTGGCTGTAGAAGTTCATGCCTCAGGTGCACATGCCTTGTTCCCATTTTATTGAATGTCTGAAGTGTGCTTAAGCTACCAAAATTGGAAAAAATAACCCCAAAATCCAGCATCCATAGTTTTGGAATACAAACCTGTGTTACCTGATTCTTTGTGGTCAATTCCCATGCTGTTCCACCTCCTTGTGATATCAATGTATAGGATATCTACAGCAGCCATTGAAAAATTGCTGTTACTCAGTTTGCAGTTCCTGTTAAAAACAGACAAAATAAAGAAGAGATCCTGATTACATCCAAACTCACGAGTAAGGAAAAATTCTGCAACTGGGAGACCATGTTTGCAGAGCCACTGTAACCTGCTCAGTCTAATAACACACACAGAGCAGATATCAAACAGACCAGTGCTCATTAAGTGCTCATATCTGAAAGACAACAGGCCCAAACTCAGAATATTTCAATTAAAAATATGACCTGACTGTTACACAGAGCTTTCTCCCAGGCTACTGCCAGTACTCTGAGGCTGTAACAGAATGGAATTAATTGGTCCATTGTGAACCCCCCCCAAATCTGCACGAGGCAGTTTGCACAGTGAAATACTCTTTTATTTGTCTGATTGATTCTGTTTGAAAAGGGTGGAGGAAAACATTGCTTCTCCATGCCTGAACACAGAAGGGATTTACCCTGGTGGTACTAATGCCTGGAGAGCAGCAGCAGCCTGGCTGGGCTGCTGGGGCTGTGGAGATCTGACACTCCTGCGTGCGGGTCCGCAGTGCGGTGCTGATCAGAAGATGGGAACTGGATGTGTGTCCAGGATTTCCAGATGTCTGGCAGCCTGGCTGCCACTAGTGCACATGCCAAAGAGCTGCCCAAAACTTCTAACCAGAAAAGAAAAACAAAACAAAACAAAAAAACCACCCCAAACCTGGATAACTGAAAAGGCTCTCGCCCTACAAACCTCCCTTCAAACAGAGAGCAAGGTCTGGCCTAGACAGTCCCAAAAATCTCAGGCAGCACCCAAGCAAGGACTAGAATCACATTCAGTGTTTCCCTTTTAGTTATTTTTTTAGAATTAAGAAAATATTGAAGGAGGATAGATTTTGATTAGCCAGAATTTGCGTGGACAGTCTGTGCAAGCATTTGCCCACACACTTGTGCCCACACATGAAATCCTGCTTGTGGAGCATTTTATTCCTGAAAAGTGATACAGCTCACAGAAATGTGACCTTCCTTCTGATATGAGCAGCAATGACAGCACTTCAGAAAAGGGCCATATAGCTGGTATAGATCCTCTGGGAGGAAATAAACAAAATATCTGCCAATAATAAAAGGTTGAATTTAACATGCATTAAGAAACTGCAAATCCTATTTCATTGAGATAAGACAATTTATTTCAATATTCTTAAAAGGAAATGCTGGCATTTATTCTGTGTTCCTGACAAGTGCCAAAATAAGGCTGGATTAAACAACAGAAAATACAGAACTGGATGCAATCCTGTGCTGGTCTGTGGATAGAGCAGATGCCTTCAGTCATTTTCTATGTATCGTAATTTGTATAAACCAAATTGTTTATATTCATTCCTGAATGCTAAATGCATCTGCATAGAAACAGGATCTGTGTTTTAAGAGTACATCTGCTGCTGCTGCTCATTTCTTTTGTCATAGTCAATCAAAGACAGAAAATGAGATATTTGGACCATGACTCGAACAGATATACCCATAAAAAACAATGAAAAAACTGTCCTAAGTGAAAAGAATGTGAAAGAAATAAATTGAGTTCCTTGTCATTGCATGGTGCAATTTCACAATGCAAATCCTTCGTGCACAGTGCATCAGGAACTGGCATTTGGGAATCCTTCCCGCGGGCTGGGGCGCACGGCTGTGCCCCCACAGCCGCCACAATCACATCAAGTGACCCAATTTCAGTTGTCACTGTCTCACAATGGTATTTCTCCGATTTACTGGGAACGTGACATGTTGACGAAGGCTGCAAATTGTACCTGCTCAAGTATCACTGATCTGCTGTCAAATAAAGGCCCCACTCCCCACCAGACACGGATTCATAGGTCAGGTATTTCAGGAGCTCGGAATGACAAAAATGTATCTATTTTACAGTAAAACAGGCAATGTTAGAAGGCATCACAAAACCTACAGGGGCACCAATACTAGGGCCAGCTTTCATCCAACCAACCTTATAAAGGTCCGGAAACCCGTCGGCCCCAGCTTGGTCGTGCCTTTGACCCCCAGGAAGCGGATGAACAGCGCGGCCACCCTGTCCACGAGCCGCAGGTAACTGAACTGCTTGGCGTACTTGGGGAACACCTGCTTGAGGCAGAGGGAGGGCAGTCCGGCCTCGGGGCTCCGGGGACCGTCCGGCTCCGGCCGCTCGGCCGGCACCGCATCCGGCAGCGACTCGCTCGATTCCGGCACGTGCTCCAAGCGCGGACACCTGCGGCACAGGATCACAGAGGGGCTTGGGTTGGGAGGGACCACAGCTCATCCCATTCCACCCCACCTTCCACTGGAGCAGGCTGCTCGTGGGACTCGTGGGACTCGTGCCACCGAGTCACCGCTGCACGGGTGGGACCCTCACACTGCGGGTCACAAAGCACCCGCTCTGCTGACAATATTATAATGTTGTAGAACAATATTGCTACAAAATTTTAAACTAATGCCACTTCTTTTGTATCCACACTTACATCCACTGGTGTTGAATGTCTATAAACGTGATCGCTTTTGAGACAAAAGTCTAAAAAAATCTTTAAAAACAAATAGCAAATCTTGGGCAGTGCTTTGATAAAGTCCCTCTTTGCTGCAGATAGCAAAGTAGAAAAATGATGTTATTTTTGTCATTAGCTGAGTGAAGCTTAAAGTAACAAGTTATTAGTTTTGTTCCTGCTCATGTAAGATCGGATGGTGGTTTCACTGCCATCAAACACCTGCCAAAAGAGTGAGAGGATGTACAGCCAAGACACAACAAGCACGCAGGCTTCTATTTTTAATCTTAAAAGGTCTGTTCATGAATCTAAAAATTCAAATCTTCAGCCAGTTGAACCAGACCTTGACCAAATGTGAAACCTTGTCCTCAGCAGGAGAGAAGGTTATGCTGCTTGGAACATAATCTCGTTTTAATGATGCCTGGAAGCCCCGAACCCTTTCTCATTCTAAATTCCACAGTGTTTTGGATTGTACATTATTCATTCATCGTTAATGTATTTAGTTAAAAAATATAAAGCTTTACTTTAAGAGGCACAGAGCTGAGGAAATTTCATTTTTTATAGAAAACACTAAAGAGACTGTTAAAGGCATCAGCTTCAGAGGAATGAATTCTGGCCCCAGCGCTGCCTGGCCATGGAGTGAGGCTGGAGACTTCTCCATCCCCCCTACTCATTGAAACAGGACTTGTGGAACAACAGCTCCTCATCTGCAAACCTGTGCTTTCTTCACAAATCTGTACCTGAAACACCTCTTAAATTCATATTTCTTATTAGAAAAGTATCAGTAGCTTTTTTGTGTGCTACTGCAAGTCTCATTCCTTTCCACTTATACATTGGGAAAGTCTGTAAAATATTTAAATCAGAAGAAGAAGACTTAATTTAGTCTTCACTGACAAATCTTGTATTTCCATTCAGTGAAAAAAAAGGAAAAAAAAAAGAATATACTTCTTCATTTGCTTTTGCGGGTTACTGCTTTTATAACGTTTAATGATTTGTTTTCATTCTTTAGCTTCCTCCTCCAAGATTTCCTTACGTTTCCTTTTCTAATGCACTAGAGCTTAATTAATATGACCATATAATTTGAATTCAAGTGAAAGGTGTATTTTGCACTTTTATTGAAACTCAGACTTTTCAAAGCAAACCTGCACAGGAGCTTGTCCACACCTGCATTATGAACGGATACACAGACTTGCCTGTTCTGCACACTCACCTTCACTGACTTACACCGATTATATTCAGGTACAATTCTCCACTGCTACCACAGGCACTACCTCAATGCAAGTTTATTCTCTGTATTATTCAACTGGTACGCCCCCACCTCGATGTGGTCTCAACACAACTAATGAAGACAAACTGCCTGGGTAGGTACAACCAGGCACAGTGTCTATAAATACAGAATTTTCCTGTGATCTGCATGTCTTTGTAAGGAATCAGTGCACAGCCTTTTTTTTGCCCCAGCCCTTAGACAAATTACACTCCTTGCAATGCACCATTACGTTTTCCCCTGCATTTCACTGCCATCTGCCATCCCCACACCATACGGGTGAGGGCGATGACAGAACTCCCCAAGGGTCACGCAGTCAAAGACCAGCGTGAGCTCCTTCCTCAGAGCAGAGCAGAAGAGACAAGGAAAGAAAAAGGAGGGGGGAAAAAGCACAGAGAAGGAGAGATTGTGTGAAGAGTGCAAGAGGAAGGAGCCACAAAGAGCAGAAATACAGCTCCAAGTCCAGCAACAGTGAAAATGTGAGGGGGATTTTCATCTCCATGTCTACCTTTAACTCATTATCAACTGGAAAATACAGAAGTACACATTTTTGTAATCTTATCTGTCATGGAATCCCAGAATGGTTTGGGATGGAAGGGACCTTAAAGCCCATCCAGTCCCACCCCTTGCCACGGGCAGGGACACCTTCCATAGACCAGGTTGTTCCAGCCCCGTCCAACCTGGCCTTGGACACTTCCAGGGGTGGGGCAGCCACAGCTTCTCTGGGCAAACTGTCCCTGGAGAAGTCCTGCAATGGGGTTGTGGAGGAGGGACCAGAAACTCCCCAGCTCCAGAGAGAGAATCCTGCCCGGGTCCCCTCCATTAGCTCCTCTCTCACGGAATTCCCAACAGGCAAGGGGAGGAGAAGGAAGCTGTGCCCCACACTTTAAAGCTGCTTGTTAGAATTAATTGTTTTGACTGACATAGCTGAGTCAGGCAAATGAATGAAAGGTCAAATATAAGGTAATGCTTCTGTTGCCACCCAGAAAAAAGCAAAGCTTAATTTACATACTAATGTCTGACCTCAATACATTAATTTCTCTAATTCTGCAGCTTATGACAGATCTTTCTTTAGAAATGATCAACTGTGGAGAAAATATTAACTGCAACTTTAAAAAAAAAAATTAAATTTTAATAAAGCTTGTGGAAATGACATCTAAGACTACTTATACATGATTACTAATTTATTAATGTTTCCCCCATCTATGTTTTATCCTTTTCATTCTGACCAGCCTTAATCTTTATGCAAATACAAGTTGCTAAGGGACAAACAAATTTGCAACTACTAATTAAGGGCTTCAAAATTCACAGCATTTTGTATACTTGCACATAAAATTTCACTCTCAAATTCTCAGTCAACTGGGGTAAGAATCACAATATTAATATTTCTAAGAATGCTCACTTGCTATATTTTACATTTAGGGCATTGCTAGAAGTATAAATTAAGCAATTTCAGTATCAGCTTACAACTGCTTACCTAATAAAAGAAAATATTATGTTCTGGATTCTGAAGCTATAATTATTCCCTCAGCTGAGCCTCTATTCTCCAAGCAAGGACTATGTTAACATAGTTAAAAGCAAAGAATATTTTGCATGACAAATCTATCTATCCACCCATTTATCACCACAGAATATGGACCTCCCAAGGAACAGATCTGTGTTAGTACCTGGAGCGTGTAGCTACGAAATGTTTGTGTTCTCATTCACAGAAATAAATCATTTAGGAAACCAAGGCAAAGCCTGAGCAGTGCCTCTGCATTATCAGCCATTCATGAATTTGCTTTTATGAACTAATCCCATTATTTTTATTAACACAGACTTCCAGCACTCCCAGGATGTCATAGCAAGAACAGTTTCATGGTTTGCCTGCACGTTGTGTGAGTAATCAGCTTTTGTTTTGTTCCGGCCACTGGTGAAGTGGCTGAATATTGAAGAAACTGAATATTCATCCCCTCTTTGCCCTCTGGCAAAGTAAAAAAACATCAATAGCACAAGTATTTCCTCCCTTCAAAATAATAACACAGTTGTACAAAGATAAAAGTATTAAAACAATGTTAAACCTACAGAGTAAGAGATTTTTGACGTTATGTTAGAAAAATTATTGCTCTTACATAGAGTTATTCAACACTTGGAGAATGCTTTGAGGCAGGCAAAGCAAGCCCAGGGAAGAGTCCATATTTCAAAGAGCAGAATCCATCAGATTAAACATAAGGATTGATAATCACCATGTTGTTGGCAGACAACGAACTTCTGATCATACCAAATACATTTTGAAAACACAGCAGCTGTTCTGTCTCTGGGAAGCACAAAGTGCTGAAAGCAGAATTTCAATCTCTCTCTCTGAGAGAAAAGGACCCATATCTCACTTAGAGAAATAAACTGGGGAAATCTCTTCCCTTAGATTTTAATGTTACTGTGAGCACGACCAGTCGAACTTCCCTGGCAGCTTCCAGGTCTGGAACGGTGTTCACTGCGGAAGGGAGAGTTGGCAAAGGCATTTTAGGTGAATCCATGGATCAATTAAAAATGTATTCCATAGCTTTGGCATTTGCTTAACAAGACCAAAACAATTCATCAGACTCTTGGAAAAGTTAAACCCCTGCAGCCTGTCAGAGCCATCACAGCAGCTCTCACCCGCAGCGTCCGCCCCTCCAGGCTTCCCGTTCCTGTCCCAGGAGTGTTATTTCCTTGCCACAGCCATCAGTTCCCTTTTGGAGAGGGATGGTTCACTGCCTCTTCAGATTGATGGATTTATTATAAAAATAAACACTTCTCATTAAAGATTAAATGGCTTTTGGCAGAAAACAGACGACTGGAAGTTTGCAGCCCTCGCACGGTGTTAATGAGCCTTTCCAAGATGCAGGAACTTGGCGTGGATCCTGATCTGCTCCACACCGAGGACACAAAGCCATGGATGAGAACATTACTGACAATTCCATTTCATATGCAGACAAGACTGGAGCTCTGGTTTGAGAGATTTCTGTAGCCTTCCCTAACACGTAGTTTAAATCATTAAAGAAGAAATGCATCTGAGGAATCTCAGGTGCTGAAAAAAACCCAGCTATTTCCTAATTATTAATTGAGTTTACTTTACTTCCAACAGTAAGAATAATGGTGATATCAGTCTGTATTAGCTACGTATTTATTACTTTTAATGTAACAGAAGCAGTGAATGCTTATGCTATTACCTGTCAGCTGTGAGTGCTGCAGAAAATATGGCATTACTGTAATGAAATAATGGATAAGCAATGCATATCCTGCACCCAAAGACTTCATTCCACTGTAGCAAAAAATTATAATAGAACAAAGATCATTAAATATAGTCCCTGATACTTTATTTTTTGTGGAGGGAGCTGTTATTATTCCTAGTAGATTTATTTGTGTTCACTGTTTGCTTTCAAGGTACTTATGTGCCTCATTATTTCTCCAGAGTTTCTTTTGTTACTTTAGAAAAATGCTCCTGTAAAA